GTGTGACCTTGAATGAGTCTCAAACATTAACATTACTTTTGGCTGTGAGAATCAAGAGGGAGCTTAAAGAGGAAAAAAGTATGATTTGATTTGTTTTTAAGAAAAATAAGTTCTTAGGAAAAATAATTTTGGCATCATGATAGAAGACAAAACACTACCAGTTCAGAGTTTCAGATTTACATGCTTTGCCTAACAGCAATACTATATTAATTTCAGTTTGAGTTTTGGATATATTAATTCCTCCCTTTCTACTAATATTTTTAATCTCTTATGTCATACTGGCCCTGTTATAATGAGTCTCTTATTGTAAACCACCTTAAATCTACTTTGAAGTAGGCTACATATACAAAACTAGTAAAAATAAATCATAAGGAACTGACAAATAATCAAAATAATAACACTGTGGAATTAGATAGTGATGATAGTTGCACAACTTTGTGAAAATGCTAAAAAGCACTAAATTATACACTCTGGAAGGTGAATTTCATGGTATATGAATTATAAAATTATATGGCTGTTAAAATATTTTGAGAGCATCACAAATTATTATGAACATTGTCAAAATATACTTTATAACTAACCAATTAACGGGTGATCCATCTATGATACATATGGTAATTCTCAGTTATTCAGCTAGTCTAGATAACAGGAGATTGTTGTACTTTTAAAGGCTTACCTCATATATAATAAAATCATTTTTTGAATCTTAGGAATATATTTCTTCTCAAAGTCAAATAAGATATAGTAGAGACTAGAAATCGGAAACTTGCACTAGGCTTTAGTTTCCTTATCTTGATAGTGATGAAGGTGAACTGTAGATGATCATCAAAGGTATATTCCTTCTTTAAAGATTGTGCAATGTTATGCATTCAATTCTAGGTAACATGAAATTTGGTAGATCATTTCACATTTCCAAACTGCACAAGTATTGAGGGGAGGGAGCGTTAGGACAGTTTAGGTGTTGCATGTGACTTTTTTCTTAAATATTTGGAATATTAAAATAGATATGTGTTCATGATTGCCTAAAAATTACTACTACAGTGTCTTCCTAGCTAATGAAAATATTCCTTTTTTACTTCCTTCAGTTTTTTGGACCATATACAAACAACACTCTTTTTGAAACAGATGAACGCTACCGACATCTAGGATTCTCTGTCGATGATCTTGGATGCTGTAAAGTGATTCGTCATAGTCTCTGGGGTACCCATGTGTTTGTAGGAAGCATCTTCACTAATGCAACACCAGACAGCCATATTATGAAGAAATTAAGTGGAAACTAGCAGTAATGTCAATTTATTTGCTATACTATTTGTATGTAACATTTGGGTTGATCTATAAACACTGTCAAAGACTTCAATTTTTAAAAGATACTTATTTCTAAGTATTTATTTCAACATTTATGAATTTACAGCATTCTCAAGTGATTTGTGATTTTTAAATTGCAAATGCTCATTATTTCTAATATCTTTGAATACATGTTGAGCACATCCACATCACATAGAATGTGGTAATTAGCATGTAACCAGGGTATGATCTCTTATTGTTCTTTCTCCCCTTTATTGGAAAAAACCTCAGTTTTAATTGTTTTTCTCCAAAAATAAATAACACATTTGGTTATGATAACATTATCATTGTATTTCATTACAACATTTTTAAAAATGTATTAATAGTTCTTAACGATTCTTGAGAAACTACGGTATTGATCTTTTATTAATCTTTGTAAAGTCTTTAATAATGCAATTGAAAATTCTAGATTCATTGTAGATTTTACTTTTTCTAATTTTTTTTTCTT